CTCAAGGAAGCTTTAACTTGGATCAAAGACAAATCCGTTCCAAGAGTCCAGGTTTTTTCAGATTGCATGACTTTAATACGCTCCATCAGTGATCATCGGTTCGTGGGTTCATCTTTTGAAGCGATGACTATTCTTCAGTGCAAATCGCTTATGCAATCCTTCAGTTTTTGTTCTTGTGATTTTATTTCTCGTCATTTTAATTTCTCTCATATTTTAGCCTCTGAGGCTTTTGGTCAACAATCATGTTCGTCTTGGGACTTTGCTCCATTTGATTGTATCCCAAACTCTTTAAATTAATGGAATGAATTTTGACTTCAAAAAAAAAAGACAATGTAAAATGAGAAAAAAGAGAACAAATTTAATCTGAAAAAGCATTGAATGAATTAAATGGAAAAGTCTCAAAAAAATAATAGTATTATGCTGATATTTTATTCTTGTAATTTTAAAATAGACTAAATTCTCAAAATGGTCCTTTCTAATAAAGTGTTGTCCCAAATTGGTCCTCAAACAACAATTACTCCGAGTAGGTTCACGGACTCCATTTCGAGAAAAAAATTTACCTAGAAATTATCAATTTGGAAAAATACGTAATTATAAAAGAACATTTCAAGAACATACTTTAAATATATAAAATTTATATATTTAAAAATTATGGTAACATGACTATACTATTTTATCAAGTTACTAATAAAAATAAGAAAAAAAAGTAATCAAATTTGAGCATGTGAATAGTAAATGTGCAATTTAATTTGGAACTGAGAGAGTAATACTTTGAAATTTTAAATATCTTTTTTATATAATAGTACTCCGTAACAAATTAAACGGAGTAATTTCTTATATAACAATAAAGTTGCATTATATTATAAATTACTCCGTGTGATTCAACAAAAATAAATACCGAGTAATAAATACTCTGTATATGTAAAACGAAAACTTTGGGGGACTCTTCGGCCATGCGCCGGGTACCATGGGAGACACCAAGTCCAAAAGTGCGTTTTTTTAATAAAAATAATGAAGAATAAACAATAATAAAGTCTAATGTTCTGATTAAATTAATCTTTAAATATTTCTTTTAAATAACGTTATTTGGTTAAGCTACACAAATCAACCAGAGACGAATTTACAGTACTAAATGGACTTGACTGATTGACTTTCTTAATTTGTACCTTTCCCTTTTGAACATGTGGGGAAATGTTAAGCCAAAAAAACATCTGAGGAAAATTAGGCTAAAAAAACATGTGGGGAAAAAGACACAAACTTATTATTTGTGCACTTTTTAAGGTGAATAAAATAATTTTAAGTAATTAAAAATAAAAATTAAATATACAAATAACAAGTTTGTGTAGTTTGTGTCCAAGTTGTTTGTGACTCCAGCATTATTATTGTTAAAGCTATCATTGATGGTTATAAAATAAAATGCTTGATTTGGCAAGTCATTGATGAAATATCATTTGGCAAGCTATCATTGACTTGGTAGTAGGGGTGTTCGATCTGATCTAAAAGTTTGGATATCCGAAATTTCGGATCATGTAAAACTCATTTCATATCCGATCCGAAAATATTTAGATATCCAAAATTTGGATATCTGAATTTTTGGATCGGATCACTGGATTATCCAAAAAGTTAACTTTTTAGCCAAAATTTACAAAACAAAAAAAGGGTAAAATAGCATAATCAATCCACAATATCAAATTCAATATAGATTTACTAAAAGCAAAATTTCACCACTAGGTAATGACCTAAAAAAATGATACCAAATTCAATTTGAGAGTAACTTTGGTAGTTTGGCCTAAACAAACAAAAAAAACACTACTAAAACAAAAGTTCCAAAATGCTAATGCAAAAAGTCCAAAAGGCTTAAGTTCCAAAATCAACATAAAATTACATTGAACATATAGCCATAATATATATCCATAAAATTCTATAAAACATATAGCCAAAAAAATCAGATATCTGATTATCCGAAAATATACCAGAATTTGAATCCATATCCGATCTGATTTTTTTCGGTTATCCAATTTGAAATATCCAAAATCTAAAATATCGGATCGGATATCCAAATTCCTCCAAATCTCCTCACCCTCGGTCCTGAGCC